TCACAGGTGTTGTCTGTTTCCCTGGTATATGGCAGTTGGAATTGGTTCTTGCCCGGATTTTAGTGTTATATAGAGTGTGATTGTAGCTTGACTATATGGCAGCAGCTGTTGTCTCTTCTTGGATAACATAGGGAGAGAAAGAGTCCCCCAAAGGTAAAAAGGGGAGTATAAAACAGCAAAGCATCAACAGCAAAATAAACAACAACTAAAAAACAATGACAACAACAACAACAAAACTATACTGGATACTGTAGTCTATAATCTCAGAAAAGGGAGAGGAGGGAGAGAAGAAAAAAAAAAATCTGTAGCCTAATATGAGTATGACTTTAATGTCTTCTTTCAGCTTATTGCTTTCAAAGCTGCCTGAGAGATTTCCAGATGCCACTGTTGCGTATTATGCTGTAACTCAGGATTTAATTTCATTTTCAGCCTGTTTTGTTTTTAAAGTGTCTTTCCCTCTCCATGCCCCTATTCTGGCTTTTCCGTATTGAAAACAAAACAAACGAACACACACACACACACACACAAAAAACAAAAAACAAAAACACAGTTCAATACTGGCTGAGAGTATCTGTGTGCATGCATGGCAGAAGAACGCACCAGTGGTGAGGTTTAGGGATGTCCACTCTCTCAGGCACCCCCTCTAGTCACCAGAATGAATGTGCACAAACAGTGGGGGCCAATGAACAAATACTAAAAAAAAAGAAAGTCAGAACAAAGCAAAACCTTTGCTCCAAGGTTCCTGCTGCGTTTTTCCGTGGTGTGTCTACTCCCCCACTTGGTATTGCCATTTGGTTCGGTCTTTCTAAGTTGTTGGCTCCAGACACCAAGCCTGGCATATTCAAAAGTATATGATTTATTACTTTTGTGACAAGTTCCACTAAGCCTTCAAACCTTTTCAATATTCCTATCTATGTGGTTCCGAGTTTTGGAGCTTTACCCTGAATCAGCTTTGCCTGGTATTCTGTGGTATTGCTGATGGCGAACCTCACTGCACTTCCACCCTAGCCACCATCAAAACCCTGGTTAATGTTTTTTCCTTACCCCAGCTTCCTATTGGGGCTTCCTCTAAATTTTGTAGATCTTTGTAGAGAGATAAACCCTGAGAAACACACTTTTCCAGGGTAAGACCTCTGTCTCCAGCTTAGAAAATGCTGCTGCTGCTACTGCTGATGCCCCTACTTTTGGGGCAGAGGGGAGCTGAGAGTCAGAGTTCTTACAGAATTAATGTGACAAGGTCTGTGGACGCTAAGGAAGGCCAGTGCATCTATGTGTCCTGCACTGTCGTCTACCCCAAGGAAAACAGGACTGACCCAGTTCATGGCTACTGGTTTAGAGAAAATTATAAATTGCATCTCGATACTCTAGTGGCCACAAACGACCCAAATAAAAAAGTGCGGAATGAAATGAAGCGCCGATTCCACCTCCTTGGAGACCCTGAAAAGAAGAACTGTTCCCTGGATATCAGATACATCAGGACTGAGGACTCCGGGTCATACTATTTTCGAGTGGAAAGAGGAAGTATGATGTACAGTTATAAGACTGATCTTCTCTCTGTGCATGTGACAGGTAAGAAATGGGTTGGAGGAGAGAGCATAGGATCATGGGATTAAAGGCAGGACTGGCATGGGACCTTGCTCCTCATGCTGGGAGGAGGTTAGGGTGAAGCATGCTGGGGTCAAGGGGAGGAAGTGGTCTAAAGTCTGAGGTTCCTCTCAGGAACATATCTTGATCCTGAGTCTTCTATTCTCCCACAAGCCCTGACCCAGAAACTCAACATCAAGTACCAGGGGCCCCTGAAGGCTGGTCACCCCAGTACCCTGACCTGCACTGTGCCCTCAGCTTGTGAGCGGGGAGCTCCTCCCATCTTTTCCTGGACTGGAGCCTCCATATCCCCCAGGAACTCCTCCATGCTCACCTTCACCCCACAGCCCCAGGACGATGGCACCAGTATCACCTGTCAGGTGACCTTCCCTGAAGTAGGTGTGATCACAAGGAAAACCATACAGCTCGAAGTGTTCTGTAAGTACTGGGGCAGACACCCGAGACTCTGATGAGGGGAACCCAGGGACAACAGGGCTGGGAGGGTGTCAGGTCCTTGGACACTGGGAGGGAACCACAAGGTATCTGCCTCCAATCCTTCCTCATGTCTACAGCTCCTGGGATGGAGGGCCAGTATCCCTCCCCCTGATGGAGGGCAGCTTTGTCTTTCTGTCCTAGATCAGAACATGACCATAACTGCCTTCCAAGGAAATGGCACAGGTAGGACATTCCTCTTCTCCCTGGGGCTGTGGGAACAGGGTGTATGCCGGGATCCCCTACCTCCTTCTAGAATCATGCAGGTGACCAGAGACCCCCTTGTTGGTGAACCCAAGGGTCCCTCTCCACACAACAGAACAGGATTCTGAGGCCCCTTATAATCCTACCCCTGATGCCTCCTCTAGCCTCGTCTTTTTCTTTTCCCCAATAGAGCTTATGTAAGTTGTTCTGGAGAAGTAAGGTACTCTCATGGCCAACATTGGAAACACACAACAAAGTCTGTCCCCCGATGCCAGCGCCTCTCTCCAGCAGGAACAAATGCTTTGTGTTTCTCTGTGCCCTGACTTTTCCTCCTAATTTTTCTAAGAGGACATTTAATGTCAGCAGTGTAACCTGTTCTCATTCGTATCTGACACCTGCATTATCCTACTGTATGAATGAACTCTGGTTCCACATACGTGTTTCCTTCATGGGAAGGGATGGTGTGCAGTTTTCCTTTAACAACACCAAAAAAAGTGAATTCAACAAATTATCTTGAATCTTTTATTTCTTCCATCTTATATCACAAGTGTCTTATCTGTGAAACAAATACCTATAAGCAAAAGTAGCTGGATCATATCATTATTCTAATTTTGAGATATATAGCCAAGTTGAAGTATCTGGGTGGTGTAGTTGATTAAGAGCTGACTGTTAACTGAACTTTTGGTGGTTCAAACCCACCCAGATGATGATTTCCTTCATATGGTCAAAAACCTGAAAACCTGTAGAGCAGTTGTACTCTGTACACATGGGTTTGTCATGAGTTGGAATCAGCTCATCAGTAACTGGGGAAAATAGCCAAATTGACCAGCAAGGGATAGAAATATAAGCCAGGATAGTGAGACTCCATCTCTCATACTTTGAATATGTTATCAGGAGGGACCAGTTTTCAGAGCAGGACATCATAATTGGTAAAGTGGAGGGTCCGTGAAAAAGAGAAAGACTGTTCAACGAGACAGATTGACACAGTGACAGCAGCAACTGGCTCAAGAGGAACAATTGTGAGGCTGGTGCAAGGCTAGGCACGTTGCATTCTATCGTGCACAAGGTCACCATGAGTGATAACTGACTCGATGACACTTACCAACAATGACAACCAGCAAGAGATGAAAGTGTGTGTTTCTCCTCAGCCTCATCAACCCAGTGTGGGGTGGAAACCTGAGATATTTATCAGTCTTAAGTTTAAAATCTACAGGTCATGTAGTTGGTGGAGAGATTGTGTCAGCTTGCCTATTTATAGTCTTAAGGCAAAATCTTTCTCATTCTGGAAACCTCAGATGTTTGTTTTTAAGGGCATCAACTGATTTGCTCAAGCCCACCCATATGTTGGAGAGTGTTCTGTTTTACTTAAAGTCAGTTGGCTTTAATGATGATCACATGTAAAACCTTCATAGCAGCAGCTAGGCCAAGGTTTGACTGAAAAAAAAAAAAGTGGGCACCCTGGCCTAGCCAAGATGACACATACAGTGAGTATCACAGCTCCTTCTCGGGGTTGTCTTACAGAGTCTCCTGTCTCTCCATTTATGTCTGTGTGTGTGTCTGTCACCATCACCCTGTCTCTTTCTGCACACTTCCTCTTTTTTTTTTTTTAATGTTTTATTGTGAAGTATGTGATAGTTTACATGGAAGAACATTAGTTTACATTCATCCTATCGTATATCATTTCATTGTCATGGTTACAATTCCCTCCATGCATCATCAAACAACCAAAGGGTATACCCTGCAAGCCTGCCCCCCTCCTGCCCCCCGTCGTCAGCACACAGCCCCTTTCCCTCTCTGGGTCTAAAGTCCCCAGCCACTCCATCTCTTCACATCATCGTCTCTGCCTCCATCTCAGGTGTCACTGCTTCTCTGGATAGGGTCCCGCTCTCTGCTTTTCTCCTTTGATGGTCCCAGGGATCTCCGCTTCTAGACTGCAAAGTTAATCACTCCACTCCTTGCTACAAAATGTCTAACTTTACATTTCCAACCCTCACAATCAGTCCTGATAACAATTATTCACTGTTGTATCACAAGAGACCTATCCACATTTCCTTTCATCAGCCCTGCCGAGACAGATTGGATACTACTCAGTGGAGATTCTACCTTCCTCCATGCCCTCTGGATCTAGATTCCCTCTTGAAAGCTTGCAAGCCAGTCACTTCTTGCCTTTGAAGCCCTCCCCCCCCACCGCCCGCCCCATGTCCAAGTTGCCCATCCCTGTCTACTCTGTGTATGGAGTGGGTGGGAATGATTCTTGCTGTAAAGATTTATTCCGTCTTTTGAGCTACTGCATCCATAGGTATAGGTCAAGTTTATCAAATGGTATTAGATTACTCTTTTTTTTCCCCTCTTCTTTCTTCTTCTAGTTGAGCTCTTATCATCCATTCATTGAAGCCAGGTCAAATGAGTATTATCTGCAAATGTGGGTGTTCTTGTGCATATGCCCTCTCTTCTTATCAGCTGGACGCTTCACTCTCCACTCTAGTCCTCTGTGGCTATGTCACTGACTCCACAGGTCTTGCCACACTGCTGGCCAACCAGGTCTCCACCAGAGTTCACAGGAGTCTATTGAAAGTTATAGGACTTAGCTCACAGCTTCATTGCTGTTTTTTGCTCACTTCCCCTTATCGGTGAATGAACGTGGTCACCAATCAGAGCGTGTTCCCATTGAGTCTTAGTCTTGGAAGGGGGTTTCCTCTGAGGGGACCTGAACACTTGCCTTGATGTCTCCTGGGCGAGCAACTTGCTTGTTCTTATAGTAATCAGTGGGTCTGCCTCTATTGTTTTGTATTTTTCCTGTTTGTCTTTCTTTCAAGAAGTATCTTCTGTTCTTCTAGTTGCTACAGGCTGGTCTGCTTGTCCTTTCAAATGGAAATTTCCCTCCTCTGAAGATTCTGGATGCTGCTCAGGATTCCACCTATGGTCTTATGTAATGCAGAGGCTCTGCAGGAAGCCTCCTTCACTGGGCAGGTTGTAGCCCCATTTTAGGTATTCCAATCAGTTATAGGCAGAAGACAGACTTACAAGCTTTCTATGGTGATATTTCTGGCTATTCCTTCCTCTCCCCCTCAAGTGTCTATTTTATAATGGTATGCCAGGGAAACCAAGATTCATAAGACAGCCAAGCATCTTAACATTATTTCCCCCCTTTTCCCCATTCCAACCATGTCTCAATCCCTGTATCCCAGAGCCCTGTTGTTCTAAGGTTGGGCATGCATCATTGTTTACCTCTGTCCCACATTGCCCATGCAAACCTGCATAATTGTTTTCCCATCTGCTTTGTTCTTCCATTCTCCTCCCCCTTCTTATATATTGCCCCCCTCCCTAGCACCCAAACTATCCTGTGTCTATTCCCTACGTTGTGCTCCACCTCCTCCCCATTCCTCCCCACATCCCAGTAGCCAGCAAAGAATGCCCCCTCCCCTTTAGTATGGGTTCTTAGTCTTTTACAGTAGTAGTCCTATCTGCATGCTTCCTCTTGATCTCTCTGACTCTCTGTCTCCCTTTCTAGAATCCAGCGTTATAAGACATGGTTCATCATTGTACGTCCAGGCGGGCCAGTACCTGCGTCTGGTCTGTGTCACCAGAGGCAAGCGCTCTGTCTATCTGAATTGGATGCGAGGAAGTCTCACCCTGTGCCCCTCACAGCCCTTGGACCCTGGGATCCTAGAGCTACCTCAAGTACATGCCAGGGATGAAGGGCAATACACCTGCCGGGCTCAGAACTCCCTGGGTTTCCAGGATGTGTCCCTGTACCTCACTCTGCATAGTGAGTATGTGGGGACATCTGGGGTCCTTTTGTGCACTGATAGACTGGGGAGAGACTGAGGGAGTAGGAAAGCAACTACCCCATAGTCATATCCAGCCAGCAGCAACCTGATCTTTAAAGAAGAGCTTGGCTGTGATCTAGGTTTCAGACTGAAGACTTGCAATTATGCTAGGGCCCAGAGCATCATTGTTCTCTTTACTGCAGGTCAAGGGTGTGAACTTTGGTAACAAGTAGGAAGAGGGAGCATGGGGGTGGAGGTGAATCTTGTGGGAGAAGGGTAAATGTGTGAGGAGAGACAAAGTTCTTGTTTTGTAGGGTCCAAACTAGGGTGAAGCAAGGGAGGCATAGAAGGATGAACCCAAAACCTCAGCAATCAAGAGAAATAATATGGAAACGAAATATGTTTAAAAAATCAAAGTCAGTGAAAAATAGATTCCACAATGAAAGAAAGTTTTAGTTGGTGTTTGAATAGATTCCAACTCATAGCGAACAGAGTAGAACTTCCCCCATAAGGGTTTTGCAGTCTGTAATCTTTATGGGACAATGAATAAGGAAGGCTGAAGAAGAATTGCTGCATTTGAATTATGATGTTGCTGAAGAATATTGAATACACCATGAACTGCCAGAAGAATGAACAAATCTGTCTTGGAAGAAATACTGCCAAATGCTCCTTAAAAGTGAGGATGGTGAGACTTTGTCTTGTGTACTTTGGGCATGTTATGAGGAGGCACCGGTCCCTTCAGAAGGACATCATGCTTGGTAAAATAGAAATGAAGAAGAGAAAGACCTCAATGTGATGGATTGATACAGTGTCTGAAACAATGGGTTCAAACATAGCAACTAATGTGAAGATGGTAAAGGTATGGGCAGCGTTTTGTTCTGTCATACATGTGGTTACTATAAGTCAGAACTGACAGCATCAATTTTTTATGGGAGATCACCAAGTTTTCCTTCTATGGAAATGTTGGGTGGGTTCCAACTGCCAAATGTTTGTTTAGTAGCCAAGTGCTTAACTCTCATGCCCCCATGGCTCCTAAAACAAAAAAAAATTTTTTTAATGAAATAAAGAAAGATGCAACTCATCCTTGTAAGTTCTCAGTCCCCTTACATTAATCCCTGTCCCCTGAACCCCTTGTGTTCTTTGTGTCTAGGAAAGATATTGGTAAACAGAAGCTAGGGCCCTACAGAGCTGGGGAGCAGATACTGAGTTCTTGGAGGTGAATCACCAAATATCAATCTATTTGCAGAAGCGTGGTACATATCCGGAGTGGTGCTCAGCACACTAGAAGGGGTCTTGGTCTTATTCTTCTTCATCTGCATCATGTGAGCATTGGTTCTGGGGAGAGAGGTCATGGGTGAGAAGTGCAGGTTAGTAAAAGAACCATTAGCCCAGAGATGAAAGAACCTGGATGTATCAAGAACCCCAAACAAGGACCTGTGGGAGCTCACTGAGATGTCCATATACTCCAGTTCTAGTTGAGCTCCCAGTCTGGTCTAGGAGGTGGAGGAACCTTTGTTTCAACACTGGGATCTCTGGGACTGGACCACCCAACTCCCACTTCTATTATGTCTTAAACTCCTTAACAGGCAACAGATAAGAGTCTGTCTGCCCACTGCCAATGATATGGTTAGACTGACATGCTCTTCTTGTCGCTTTGCCCAGAGTGAGGTCCTACAGGAAGACCGCAGCAAGGACAGCAGTGGGCACAGAGGACAAAGGCACAGAATATGCAAACACTGTGATGGGGCAGGCATCTCAGGTTAGTGATGTGGATGGCTCCACTGATACCCAGCATCCTGTCTGGACACCTACCCCAAGGTGGCCTCCAGGGATGCTTCACTCAACACAGTTGAAGTTGGTCTCATCTCCCTTGCCTCCCAGTTTCTTCTGCTAGATTTCCCACCTTGTTGATTACCTGCACAATCTTCTCTGTCTTCCCTTTCTTCTTGCTGTTGTTGTGTGCCCTTCAGTCAATTCCGACTCATTGGGACCCTAAAAGGTAGAGCAGAACTACTCCATAGGTTTCCATAACTGGAATCTTTATGGGAGCAGATCACCAAAGTCTTCCTCCTTCAAAGTCACTGGGTCGGTTCCAACCACCCACCTTTTGATTAGCATCTGAGCACTTAACCTTTGTGCCACCAGGGATCCTTTTCCTTCTCTTGTGTTGCCGTTGGGTACCACTGAGTAGACTCTGGCTCATGGCGACCCCTGTTACAGAGTAAAATGGACCCAAAGAAGTTTCTAGGCTGCGATTCAAATTCACCAGCAGTTCCTTGGAAACCTTATACAGGGTCTGTATGAGACAGAACCAACTCAATGGCAACAACAACATCTAGACCAGAGGCGTCCTGGTGTGGTGTTATAGGATAAGCACTGGAAACGCAAGGTTGGTGGTTCAAACTCACCAGCCACTCCTCAGAAATTCTATACAGGGTTGCTATGAGTCGAAGGCAAGTTGACAGCACTTAATAACATCTAGATTAGGGATTGACCAGCATTTCCTGTAAGGAGTCAGATAGTAACTTTACTTTGTGGGCCATAGGGTCTCTGTGACAATAGACAACTCTGCCGTGGTATCATGAAAGTGGTCAGAGACAATAAGTAAATAAGCGAATAAGGCTATAAAACTCTATTTACAAAAAGAGGCAGCCTGCTAGATTTGAGTCATGGTATGCGGTTTACTGACCCTTGAATTCAAGAATAAAGCCTTCAGGCTTTATATGTAAGCCCTACATATTTTTGGAATATAACTCTAGCAAAGCTTGGAATAGGGTACAAGGTACAAGTGAGGCATTGGTCTTTAAGGAACTGTCAAAAATATGAATAATCAAGGTAAGGCATATCTCAACGCATTATTTTAAAAGAATCAAAATTAATGCAAAACAACCAGTGATGATGGAATCCAGACTTTCTGGAGTCATTGAAACTGGGTGAATCCCTAAAAGTATTGCTGTGGGATAATCTCTATATCTTAACGCTTTTGTGATCTATGGGACACATAGTGCCCACCTACATTTTTCTTCTCTGAGGTTTACTGGGAAGCAGATAGCCTACTTTTAGTGCATGCTGCCATCTGGTGGGGATATAGAGAGAGAGACAGAGAGAGAGAGAGAGAGCGCGCACTCTGGTAGCATAGTGGTTACGAATCGGGCTGTGAACTGCAAGGTCAGCAGTTCAAAACTACCAGCCGTTCCGCGGGAGAAAGATGAGGCTTTCTGCTCCTGTAAAGATTTACAGCCTCGGTATTGCATTAAAAATGTCATCCATTATTGAAATCACATAGTTTCAGCAAAAAATCCAAAGCGTAAAACAATTTTGTCTTCAAATGGCAAAGTCAAAAAAAAAGTGTTTTAAAGTGCTTTCTTTAAACCAAACAATAGCCCCTGCCCCATCACCAAAACAAACATATGCAAGAGAGTCAATTTCAACTCATAGTGGCTCTATAGAACAGAGTGGAACTGCTCTGTAAGGTTCCAGAGGTGGACTGACACATCGTCCTTCCACAACGCAGTTGGTGGGTGCAAACCGCAGATCTTTCAGTCAGCAGTTGAGTGCTTTAACTACCATGCCACCAGGGATCCTAAGCCAATCAACTATTTAATTTAGTTAGTAAAGAATGTCTGCCTTGAGCCCTGGGTTCTTTTGAGGTGTGCCCACATGATCTCAAACTGACAACAGTGGCTCAAATGGTTAGAAAGTTTAGAAGATGGTGAGTTGATGTGCATGGTGAAGGGCCAATTCAGAAAAATAGAATGAGCATGGTTGCACTTCACTGAATTATTCATGTAGAAGTCATTTCACTGGTTTGCTGTGTATGTTTTCAGCATCAACAAATAGACTACTTTAAAAAAAAATTCATAATGAGCAAAATTTCAAATAATGTCAGAATCAGTTAACTGAAGTTAATTAGAAACCATTTAAGACCATCGTGTTGTTGTTGTTAAGTGCCGTCGAGTCGATTCCGACCCATAGCGACCCTGTATAGGGTTTCCAAGGAGCAGCTGGTGATCTTGAACTGCCAACCTTGCAGTTTGCATTCTGGCGCATTAGCCCACAGCGCCACACCAGAACTCCAAGACCATCGTGTAGGCAGGAGGAATTATCAACCATCATACTTTTTTGTTGTTGTTGAAAACAGGATCAGCAGAATCAATTTGGAAAATATTGAATTCGCTTTCATCAAAGCCAGGAAAATTTTATAAGAAAATTTATAAGAAATCCTATCTTTGATACAAATAAAATATTTAAACTTAAAATATTGCTTGCATATACACTCGTTGCAATTTCCCCACTATTTTTTCAGCTATTTTAACGTTCTAGAGGAGAAGAAAAGGACACTAAAAATATATAAAAACCTGTTGTTAAGTGCTATCAAGTCAGTTCTAACTCAGAGACCCATATATAAGGTTTTTGAGGAGTGGCTAGTGGGTTTGAATCACCAACCTTGTGGTTAACAGTCCAGTGCTTATCCTACAGCACCATACCAGGAGTCCTAGGGGTACACACATTTCCTTTTATCTCTTTCTCCAGTGGTTCAGCACGGTACTTTACTAATTCTACAAATCTCCAAGGAGTTAGGGGCATTTTAATTTTGATAAATATTTAATTAAAACATTATCTTGGTTATCAAAGTTTGGGGCAACCCCTTTAAATTTTGCTCTTGGAGATAATGCTTCACTTGCCTAACCCGAATCCCCGTCCAGATCCCCAATCTCTTTTCCTGGTGCTCCCCACATCACACTCTGAGCTCCCTTCAAACTGGACTTCCCTCTGATACCAACCAGAACACAGTGAATTTTACCTCTGGGTCTTTGCACAGACTGTCCCTCCCTCCTCGGATGCCCTTCCCGCCCCATTCCCACGCATGAACTCCTGCTCATCCTTCATGCTTTTTATATTCATAGCAAGATTGGCAGTCACTGGAAGGTTTTGAGAACTCAGTAATAAGCATTTATTCCATTAATTAATTTGTTCAGGATATGCACACAAAAGAAACAGAAACCTAACCTAATGCCGTGGAGTTGATTGTGTCTCATGAAGTCCCCATAGGACAGAGTCCAACTACTCCAAAGAGTTTTCTAAGCTCCTGACCTCATGCTGACCCCTGGTACCATGCTGACCTTACGGTGACCCCAGACACCATGCTGACTTCATGGTGACCCCAGGTATCATGCTGACCTCATGCTGACCCCAGGTACCATGCTGACCTCATGCTGACCCCTGGTACCATGCTGACCTTATGGTAACCCCAGGCACCATGCTGACTTTATGGTGATCCCAGGTACCATGCTGACTTTATGGTGACCCCAGGTACCATGCTGACCTCATGGTGACCCCAGGTACCATGCTGACCTCATGGTGACCCCAGGTACCATGCTGACCTCATGGTGACCCCAGACACCATGCTGACCTTATAGTGACCCCAGGGAAAACCAAAAGACCTGCTGCTCGGTCCTAAGTCATCCCCACGATCAGATGTAGAGTGGACCATTGCCATCCACAGGCTTTCACAGGCTGATTTTCTGAAGTAGATCTCGTGGCCTTTCTTCCTGATCTAGCTCAATCTGGAAACTTTCCAGAAACCTATTCGGTATTATGGCAACAGGTTTGCTAGGATGCAAGCCTGCAGTGATAGGTGGGAGGTGACTTCGCATGAGTTGCATCAGGCAGGACTCAAACCAATGTCTTCTGCATGGGAGGTCAGAATTGTACTACTGAGACGCCCAGTAATGTGCTCACTGAGGACGAGAGTGTGGTGGCTTCATTGGATAAGCCCTGGACTTTGAACCACAAGCCACTCCTCGGGAGAAAGATGAGGCTTTCTGTTCCCACAGAGATTTACAGCCTCCGCGAAACCCTATACAGGGTCGCTATGAGTCTGAACCATCCCAGCAGCACTTAACAACACCAGGCAAGAGATGTTTGAAGGAAGCATGAATATCCACAGTCTCATACTTTCTGTGGGGGATGAAAGAGAGAGGAATTCATGGGCTTCCCTCTTGGATGCTCCCTGCCTTCTCCTGTGTCTCCTGTCCTGTGCATGATCGCCTTGTCTTTCCCTCCACTCAGGGTCACCTGGTCAAATTCCAAATAAGCAACCCCCCAGAACACGATCTCCCAGTTGTGGACTCAGAGAAGGAAGAAGGTCTCCATTACGCATCCCTCATCTTTAATGAGAAGAACGAATTCCTCAGCTTTAATGAGAAGAACCCTGTGTATTTGCAGAAACAGGAAGCCACTGGCACTGAGTACTCAGACGTCAAAACTACAAGTGAGACCCCTGGCTGGAGGGATCAAGGGCCCACCAAGGCAAAGAGAGAAGAGAGGCTGATTCCTGTAACCTTCAAGCCTTCTAAGTGACAACCTACACATTTAGTGGAAAGAACTTTGGAGTCAAAGAGTTTCAAGTTCAAATATAATTCCACTTATTTGAAGTTCATGGACAGACTGAATTAATTTATGAGGATGGGGCTGCTTCTGTTTGGGGGATTGAGAACATGAGGGAATTTTTCTCAGTGCTCAAAATGCTCTATGTATTGACTGGAATTGTGATTACTTGGGTGGATGCCTGTATCAAAGCCCACTGAAAAGTACATGAAAGATCTATGCATTTCACTGTATATAAATTTTCCTTCAACAAGAAAAGAAATAAAAAGTAAAAAGAAAAATTAATGAAAAAAGTTTTGAATAAGATGAAATAGCCATTTGTAACATAAACTACAAGATGTTTAGATAGAAGTTTAGATAAAGAAATGGTATGCATATTTACCTCTGCCACACATATTATATGTTGTGGTTAACTCAGAATGTACTCAATTACTTCTTACTCAAATGAGACTGTTTTAGACATATCTAAGTCTATGCAGTTCAACACGTATATATACGAGGGAGCTTCAAAAAGCCTGGGGGCGGGAAGGGGAATGGAATTAAAAGATAATAGAATTAGCCACAAACTTTTTGAAGCCCGTGCTACAGTGGTTAAATAAATGAGCAAAGATAACACACACACACACACACAAAGTAAAGACAAATGTGTGAGCAGAATATGTAGATGTGGCACAAAGACACACACACATACACACACCTGTTGCCAACCTGTCTACACAGGTGGAGAATAATACAGAAGATAGCAGTGGTCAGTTCGGGTAAAGGACCTTCTGAAAGCTGAGTCAGGGAGATGGGGAGAGAGATTGCAGCCATCAGATTGACTCAGAATGAACTATGGTGTACTGAAGGAAATGGTACCCAGGTCTGCATTATTCTTGTGTATGTGCAAGTCCATCCTTAGGGTTGTTGTGCCAATCCATCTCACTGAGGGTCTTCCTTGCCCTCTTCTTCACCAAACATGGCTGATCCCTCCTGATGACATGGCCGAAGTGAGAGAGTCAGACAAATGGCTATTAGCTGATTTTCAGGAGAACTTCAGACCTTTCTAGTCTGTCTCAGTCTGAAAGCTCCACTGGTGACCCAGATGGTATTTGAAATACCAGTGGCATAGCGTCATATGCAAGGAGCTCTGGTAGCATAGTGGTTACGAGTCGGGCTGCTAACCTTAAGGTCAGCAGTTTGAAACTACCAGCTGTTACGCTGGAGAAAGGTGAGGTTTTCATATGCAGGGTCGCTATGAGTCGGAACCAACTCCACAGCACACCACCACCACCACCACCAGCAGCAGTATCATATGCAAGCCAAACAGGTTGGAGAGAAGGAAACTAAATGATGCTCAAAGTCTCCTGTTGGTTCCAGGTCAGCTTCCTGCAGGGAGAACCTTAGCCAGGTGGGGGTTTGGGCAGAGCCAATGATAGGAAGTAAAGGGGCATGAGAACCCATTCAGAAGAGAATCATCAGACTAATCAAAGGACTGGCTACTGTGGGTCATAAAAAGATTAGATAGTGCAGTGGATTATGCATTGGGCTGCTAACCAGAGGGCAGCAGTTCAAATCTACCAGCCCCTCTGCAGGACAAAGATGAGGCTTTCTGCTCCCCTGAAGATTTTCAGCCTCAGAAACCCTATATAGGGTGGCTTCAAGTCAGAAGTCACTCGACTCCACATCACCACCACGACTGTGGGTCAGGAATGGAAACAGGCAAATATGGGGGACTCTGGGGAGTTGATAAACTCCAGGTTCTGGGGTACGGTATAGCTGAGATGAGGTGTAGGCAGTAAATATCCACATAAACAAAAATCATGTACCTAGTTGATTGTGGCGCTGTGGTTTAATGCACTGGACTGCAAAGTCGGTTTGATCCACAAGGTTAGTGGTTCAAGCTCACAAGCCGCTCCTCAGAAACCCTATACAGGGTCACTATGGGTCGGAGCCGACTCGATGGCACTTGACAACAACAACAGTTTAATCTAAGCATCCCTGGTGACACAATGGGTTAAACCTTGGGCTGTTAACTGATGGTTGTAAGATCAAATCCATCAGCTGCTTGGCAGGAGAAAGACGAGGCAGTGTGCTTCCATAAACATTTAGAGTCTCAGAAACCCTAGAAGCAGTTCTACTCTGTCTTATAGGGTCGCTATAAATAGGAATGGATTCCACAGCAATGAGGTTTGGGGTGGCGCTGTGGGTTACGGTGCTGGACTCTATAGTCGGCTTGAACCTCAAGGTGGCGTGGTTCAAGCTCACTAGCCACTCTTTGGGAACCCTATACAGGGTCGCTATTAATCGGAACCGACTCGATGGCACTTAACAACAACAACAAGTAGGAATGGATTCCAGGGCAATGGGGTTTGTTTGGGATTTGGATTGATTCTTGCTATTCACTAAAGTTGGACTTTGTTAATGAATCCCTCCTGATCCTGCCTGGGTCTCGCACAGTTGAGGAGCTACCGGCTCTGCGCATGCTCATTTCTAGGCGATCAACCAATGCACGATGCGTATTTTCGTGAATATGTGTTAGCGCATACAGACTACGCCAGGAACAATAAACAGTGTAAGGGAGAAAATAAACAACAGAGAAGAGAATACAAAGTGTTTTTTGGGGAAGAAGTTCTTTATAACTGAAGGGTGATATGAACTACAAAGTAGCAAGAGCTAGGAAAACACTTAGATCGTGCTTAGAGGAGGAATGCCTAGACAGTCTTTCTGGGTTTGAATCCTGACCTGTGTCCACTTGTTAGCTGAGTGACCTTGAGCAGGTCATTCAATTTCTCGGTGCCTCACTTTCCTCCTCTGTAAACTGGAGCAACAAAGATAGTTACCTGCCGTAATGAGTTTATGTTCACGAAGAGGAAGTTGAAAATGTTAGCGCAGCTTGAAGGTAATCAGTGTGGCTGGATTGTGCATGTAGACTGTTGACTTTGTCTGAACTGCATGTAGACAGTTCAGCTGTGTATATTCCTGACAACAATCAAATATATATATACATTTACAAAACACACTGCAATCAAGTCATTCTGCTCATGTTGTTGTTGTAGTTAAGTGCCATGGAGTCAGTTCCGACCCATAGCGACCCTGGGCAGAGTTTCTGAGGAGCGATTTATGGGATGGAACCAATTCTATGTCACTTAACAACAACAGTATATACACACACACACATATGGAGTCTTGGTGTGGCACTGCAGGATAACCACTGAATCCAGGTCTCGGTGGTCATCAAGGTCTCAATCCAGCAGCCACTCCCTGGAAACCCTATAAAGGGTCGCTAGTTGCTATGACCAGAGTGATCCGTGGAGGCCAAGATGGCTAGGCTTCGTCTCTCATACTTTGGACACATTGTCCGGAGAGAACAGTCGCTGGAGAAGGATGTCATGCTGGGTAAGGTGGAGGGTTCAGAGAAAAAGAGGAAGACCCC